AACGGGCGTTGCCAACGGCGAGACATTAGTCGGGTGAAGCCGGGAAAGCCCAGAAGAAGGCAAACATTTGCCCGCCTTTCGACCCCACCCTCTTCACTTCCTTTTCCACCTTCCAACCCCTCAAACTCCCGTCCCTTTTCCTATCTTCTTCCCACTCTTAGCGTGTGCAAACAACCAACGTGGTGGTTCTGGCTCGGGCTCTGGCTCTGGCTCGTCGGGTTCGTCCTTGTGTTCAGGATAGTGGAAGAACTTACACTGTTCTACGGTTAGGTTGAGTTTCAGATAGAAGAAGAAGAAGTAACAACTTTCATTTCCAAACTACTTCTTAACAAATTGAAAATACTTTAACGTAGAGATATATATATATATATATTACAATATTTTTTTGACGTATCTCTTGTTATTGTATTATTATATCGAAATAGTTGGAGAAACAACAAAATTCGTCTTAAAATTTTATATTTCAATTTATTTCTGTATACATTTTTATATACTTTTTTTCTTTTTTTGCTTTACTTTTCCTTTCTCTTTCTTTATTATTTTTCTTATATATTATATTTATTATAGATGAGAATTTACGTGTCTTTTATTCGATGCGAAATCGTGAATATTTGATTCATATTTGTAATAACGATAAAGTCTTTCGACTTACTCGTTAATTTGAACGCGTGACGATTGATAAGTTCCAAGGATCACCGTCGTAGAATTAAAGTGGACGGAATAAGTTTACCGTGGTAGTTCGAAGTTATTTCTCACAATTATCTACGTTGAGAGTTATACTCGTACACAAAAGTCGTGAGCGGCGTAAAGGAACGACGAGCAAAACACGAACGGTGAAATACTCTCGCGTGTATGTTCTATCTCTCTCTCTCTCTCTCTCTCTCTCTCTCTTAGCAAACTTTACCAAAACTACGGACGGCCACTTGAACTTACACCGAAGTTATAGAGGGTGTCATTAAACGACTCATCTTACTTACTTTACTAGCTTTAACATTTACCATATGATTTTAAGTTATTTTATCTAACTCAACAGACGGATTGTTATTCATATTTTTATATAATGTAATGTAATACACTTAATTTTGTTTTTTACACGATAGATACGCGTTTCCATAGAATATGATACGTTTTTAATAGAAGATTCAAGATATCAATCCTAAGAAAAATCAGCAAACATTAAACGTTAATCAAAATTTTTATCTTAGAATCTGGATCGGTGTTAGTTAAATCAAATTTATGTAAAAACAGAATTGAGTATTATATATATTCTAGTTTATCGATTACAATCTATACCCAAATAAAAGAAGACAAAAGTTTAACGTTCCTTTTTTCATCGACAAAATGGAGATCGATCAATTTAGATTAAAAAAAAAAAAAAGAAAAATATCATTTAATATCGAATCCTCGAGTATACTTAAATACGTAATTTTACGACAATATTATTACCCTATCAAAGACTTTTCTCACAATCTTCTTATCGGAAGTAACCTTCGGTAGCTTTCACAAGGGAATAAAGACATTATATATTTTTTTTTTGTTTCTTCTAATTTCGAGATACGAAGGAATAGTTAAAATTTAAACACCCTAGACGATAACGGCCTCTTCTATGTGAAAGAAAGAGAGAGAGAGAAAGAGAAAGATAGTCTCCCGAGTGTGCAATGAATTCCTTTCTTTCTCTTTTCTCGCAAAATGATCGTTTAAGCTAAAACAAGAAGCACGGTATTACCCTCATACACACACACACACATACATACACATATACAGACACAGACACATATATACCTACGTAAGATTTTCTTTTCTTTCATAACCGTGCTTCGAAAAATTGCGGTTTGTGCTATGTGCTAGCGTATCCTCGGTTCTACGAGTAACAAACGTCGAGAGTGATACGAGCTCTTACGAAAATTCATATCTCGTCCTTCCACTATCCACTTTTACCACTACCATTATATACACGGAGCGTCTTCACCGACGACTTCTACGATTTCAACGAAGAAGAAGACGACGAAGAAGAAGAAGAAGAAGACGACGACGACGACGACGACGACGATGGGAATTTATGCGAAATCGAGTTACTACGCCGATTCCATCTACTCTGATTCCCTTTCGACGTAATAAAACTTCTCTCTACTTCCTCTTTTTCTCTATTTCTTTCTCTCTCTTTCTCTCTCTTTCTCTCTCTCTCTCTATCTATCTTTTTCTCTCTTTCTCTCTTTTTCTTTCCGTTGAGAATATTTTTACAGAATCGTTCTTTATGACTACCTCCTTTTAACATTCGATCGATGTCGTTTCAAACTTGGTTTGTAATCTATGTATCAATGAGAAATCAAAAGTCCAAATATATCGTGAATAATGTTATATGTAAACTTTGGAAATTTAATAATATGATATAAAAAAAAATTGGTATGAAAAGATTTTAAATTCATTTTTTAGATCATTTTGTTTCGTATTTGTTTTTTTTACTTTTTTTTCTTTTTTTTGAGAAGATATAAATTACAATATCTCGGAGTAATCGTTCACAACGATAATTATTATTTCGTATAATAGAAATACGAGTTTGAGAATCGTGTATAATTATTGGACAAAATTTGTCGAATGAAATTTCTCTTAGGTTTAATTCGTCGCGAGAAAGAAATTATTTATGATTACCGACGACGGGATACGGTGCTAGTGATTATTATTAATATAATAATAATAACGTTAGCGATCATTTCATTAATCGATCGCCTAGCAAATGTGTTTTAGCGCCGAGTTATTATTAATTGATATTAATTATCTACTTCCATTATTCTATTACGTATGTGATTATCATTCTTTTTCTTTTTTCTTTTTTTTTTGTACATTCTAAAATTTCATCAGAAATATTAATCTCGGGGGAGAGGGGGATAAATTATATGAGTATTGAAATCCACGTTTTCTTTTTTATTAAAGAATTTTCTTCGAATTTTAACAAAAATATGAAGAAGGAAAATGTGCCAAAATTATTTTAAAGATTAAATATTTTGTGAAACGCATTATGTCGATATCAATTTTTTCTTACGCTTACATTTTTATAATAATAATAATATTAATAATCATAATCTTCTCGCGCTACACTTTTCTCGTACGATTGAAAATATTTTTAAACGAAAAATGTATTACAGAATATTAACTTTGATGCACGTACACATACATATATACGTACGTACATTTCAAAAGATCTATTTTATTAAACGAGACGCGTAAATCGAAAAATCATTTCTATCATAGTTATTATATTTAAAGGGAAAAAAGCAAAACAAAGGATCAGTAAGACATTACATCGTGCTTATTTATCATCTCGTATTTATGCAATTTTATTTCCGTATATTTAATATTAATACACCATTACGAATAATGAACATTGGTCACGTTTATAATAAGGGAAAAATAAAAAATAAAAAGAAGATAGAGGAGCAGAAAAAAAAAATAAAAAAACAAAAGCAATGAACGAAATGATGAAAAATTTCAAACGAAGTTGACCGTAAGCTTCTCTTTTATTATACGATAAAAACACACAACAATACGCGATGAGGGGGGTTGGAGAGGGGTGGCGGTGTGTGAGGGAATGAGAGGGGAGGGGGATGGAGGTTGGTGGTAGTCGAACGATAAAAAGAGTGCAGGCCAAAAACGTTGCATTCAATGAAACTTTGCGCTTCGTAAAACAATACGGCTTATCGAGAATGCATTACAATAAATTCACATGTAAGCAGAGTGAAGCATGCACGGCCGATATAGCCGTGCAATGTGTCCCATAAAATTCGGATGATCCTGGACGGAAATGCAATGCATTCGATATTACAGAGGACGGAAGGACCGATTTTTATTCTAGACAAAATCCCGACCGGCGCGTTTATTTCGAATAACGTATCGCAGATACAACAAGGACGAGTGGTGGGGGAAGGGGGAGGGGAGGGGTCGGAGAGAGAACAGTTACGTACACATATACGAACATAGTGTGGAAAATATATAGTGTGAACGCAAATCGATTCATACCCATAGCCAAAAAGCCACCATAACTATACCCCCCCTTCTTGTTGATTTTTTTGTTTGTTTTTACCTCGAACGAACGAACGGTGACGATCGATCGATAGAAAAATTTCCGACTCGTGATCCGATTAACTCTTGAGGTGGTAAGGTAGGAAGAGGTGAGAGGGTACTGTAGGAGAAGCAAAAGATAAAAACTTATGACATTTTTCCTTGATTTTCCTTGCTTTCCTTTTTTTTCTTTCTTCTCCTATTTTCTTCTCTTTCATTTTTTATCAAATCTTATCTCCGTAAATATTATTCCACGTAGAACGTAACTCCGATCTATTTTTTCTAGATTTATTTTTCCTTTCCTGTACTCTAACCCCCCACCCCACCCCCCGCCACCTAATCCATTTTTACTCTTCGACAACTATCGAAAAAAAAATTCTAAACATTCCTGTGACACGAGGTTGACAAATATCTCGTTCACGTATTATACAATATATCGCGTTTCCTTCTTTTACACGTTTACGAAAAAATATACGTTTTTCGGAATTTTATGGAAATGCACGGAAATGGGATAAAGAGCAGAGCAGAGCAGAGCAGAGCAGAAGGGGCAAGGGGAGGGGTGAAAAAAAGAGAGGCAACGGGGGAAAGGAGAAGAAGAAAAAAAAAACAGAGTGAGAGAATTGCAAACGAGAGTTGCAGTTACCACTATTACTGTATATTGCATTCTATGACAGGGTAGCGAGAAGTAGTAGCAAGATGGAAGGGGGCGGAGGGCGGGGAGGGAAGAGGTAACGGGGGTGAAATAACGCGAACCGATAACCGCACTTGTTAATACCCTCGCTCCCTATTATCGTAGAAGTGTTTACGACAGCAGTTAAACGCGAATCGAATGTACTATGTAAATCGTGCTCGTGCTCGTGCGCGCGAGCACACGCGGGCGCGCGCGCGCGCGCGAACACATCAAATGTTCGAGAAGAGCATTGCGGGAGCGTACAAACGACTGTTTAGTCGGCGTCGCGATATACTCCAACGGGGGTATGTGTACCTAGAAATATAGAGAAACGAATATACGCCCGAGTATATTTGCAATGAATTTACGGGGGCGTTAATGCATAACCCCTACTCTACTATCCATTAGTTTAAACAGATTCCCCGCGTACGGTGTGTAGGGAGGGGTTGGGTGGGAGCGGGCGGGCTTGCACCAAGAGAGAAAGAGAACGCAGCCTCAACGCTTGGATAACCAAACGAGAACGGGCTGCTGATACGCTCTGTGCAAATTAAACATTCGTTGTGGCTCGAAAGCCAAACGTCGTTTCCTAACGTTAAATTCCCATATTATATATTGTTGTCTTTTCCTCTCTGAGGTATCATTTCAATTAAAGAAAAAAAAAAGGAAAAAAAAAATGAAAACAATTCACGCGTTCGCAAGATAAGTCCAGTTTGTTAGTTGGATGATAAATTCGTTTCGTGTTAAACCTTGAGAAATATATTGTATAATATTATCATAGTATATTATATATATATGTTTATTCGAAACTCACCCGAATATGTTTCCGACGGTATCTGATCCGTTGGTATGGTAAAATTTCCTACTGCATTCGGTGGACATCCGTTTCGAGTTTGTTGAGTACGTAAGGTATGAGTTGCGTGTAAAGATGGACCACGAGGTGGTACTTCGGGTGGTGCCGGTTCGGGTGGAGAATCTCTTCCGGTGTCTGAAAATAATAATCGTTATAATCGTAATCTATATCATTTAGTTAATTAATAACAAGAGAGAAAGAGAGAGAGAGAGAGAGAGAGAGGGAGAGAAAGAGAGTGAAATATTCGTTAGGTTAGTTATAATAATTCGTGTTATCGTTGTAGTATAGAGAATTGGTAAATTATTGCAATAAAACATTGTAAATGGTGGTACTATTAAATTTCACATTAATCGTTGTTGTTTTATTTCTCTCTCTCTCTCTCTCTCTCACTTTTTCACTCCCTCTTTATCTATCTCTTTCTATCCTGTTTATACATTCGCTCGCATTTTCACGTTCGCAATGTCCACTAATCCAGAATAATTAAACGAGACGTCGACAATCGAGAGCTTCGCAATTATTGCTGCTTTATGTAGTTCGAAGCGTAACAGGCATGGGAAGGGGAAGGGGCAGGGAGGAGTGGGGAGGGGAGGGCGGGGGATCGATTAGACGTTATTAGAAGTGCGAGGGAGCATGAAGAATGCGCCAACGAGCGCTTTTGTAATTAGGAAATAGTCTAATTGGAGCATCGATCTCCTCCTCCCTCCCACCCTCCTCTCATTTTAGAGCGAGGCCGCTATTATCCGAAAATAACGCGAGAGGTGAGTCCTACGTTCATGTATAACTATAATAATATATATACTTATTAATATATATATTATATATATGTAATGCAATAATATATGTCTGTATACGTATTATATGGATATGAGTACTTATGACGTTGCTATGACGCACAATGTATTATAATGTGTGAGAGCAACAATCCTGCAACCGATGCAATCCCGAGCAACAATACTGATAAGCTTGGTGGTACACATAAGCGTGTGTACACAGACACACACCTATGTTAATCCAGTTTTATCGTTACATCTCGTGACGTAAGTAGTAATATCGATTCGTTGCTGAATAGAACTAAAACGGGAGTCAGCGAATAATTAAGGATCTATTTATAATTAAAGCGAATTTCTCTCTCTTTCTCTCTCTCTACCCTGTTATTAAATGTTTTAATCATTAAAACGCGAGGTGGGACCTTGTTATGGGACTCGTGCACAACTTTGTCGACGATAATTCAACACTATTTAATCTTTGTTGTTATATTATATTCTTTCTTTTTTCTTTCATTATTTTTTATAATTTAAACAAGTATTTCCAATACGTAAAAGAAAATAATAGAGAGAGAGAGAGAGAGAGAGAGAGGTAATCGTTGTTTTTATCTTCCATCGTATCCTTTCAATCGGAATTCGTGCGATCAAAATTTTGTGTATATATACGAGTTTATATATAAAATAATATTATATATTTACGTTGGTATCGGAAGATAGGTTAAATGAATAAAAAAGAAGAAAACAAAAAAGAAAAAAGATTGATGCACGCGCGCGATAGGTATAAAAGATATAATATAATAATTATTATACCTCGTTAAGGGTTGAGTTTGCGTAATAAAAACGTGACCGCGTCTTTTTTCATTTACCAAGCTTCGCGTATAAACAAATTAGAACGTTTAAAAAGTTTTCTAACGGAATACTAAAAATTTTCCAATTCTGACCTGCTCCCTTGTTTTTTCTTTTCTCTCTTTCTCTCTCTCTCTCTCTCTCTCTCTCTCTCTCTCTCTCTCTCTCTTTCTCTCTCACCACCGTACTACCTTGCTAGCCCTCAGGGCTTTCCGTAGTCAAGTTACTTACAAAGTTGTTCAAACTCGTAAGGAACTCCTTCCAACGAATAATTAAAGTTACATAAACGCAAAGAGTGCAAAAGAACCTGGAGAAGCGGGTCCGTCCGTTCGCATTCGCGCGCATTTAAAGACAAGGAAAGTATTTTCCTCGTACTGGTTCCTTTCCACTCTCAACGGAAAATGCTTTTCTCTATAAACGAAGGAATGCGAAAAATTTCTAAACGAATTATCCCAATTTTTTTCCCCTCGCGCTCGTCCCTACAGTATTTATCTCTTAAGTGAATATAAATAAATAAATAATAATAATAATAATAATAATAATAATAATAATATATATTATATAAGAGAAAAAAAAAGAAAATAAAGATTAAAATGAAATAATATCAAGAGTTGATTTTCTTACAGATGGGGAACTTCCTGAACCTTTACGCAAGTAGAATTAGTCGTAACTGCATATATGCCGACGTTACAAACCGATGTCATATTAAATACATTCGTGTATGTGTGTGTACGTGTGCGTGTGCGTATCTATGTCATGTGTACATAAGCACGACAAAACCTATAGTATTGTATATATATATATCTATATATATATATATATCTATATATGTATATATCTATATATGCATACAATTGAAGCAATATGTAACCATTAGAGGTTGTTAATGTTACAGAGCGCATTATTGTAAATCAAGGTTAACTGCAATACAGTGGTCTATCGCGCTTTCGCGAAGCTATGTAACTTGCTTGCGGTAACTCTGATGCCGGATAATGGAATTTCGGTGCCGGGTCTTGCGGATTAAAATCCATTACGGTTATAACTTACGTGAGCGTTGTAATCTCTAAGAAAATTATTCAAGAAAGCTAGAGAGACATGTTATCGGCTTAATACATACGTACACTTCTACACGTATTATTATTATTATTATTATTATTATTATTAATATATGAAAATAAATTTAGGGTTCTTCTTCTCCCCTTTAGGAAATTTCTTTACGGATCATTACTAAGAGTAGGCTATAGGAATTTCGTTTATGGGTTTGTTTAAGTGTCTACAAATTTACGCGTTATGACATGTTTATTTATTATGACTGTTCTTTTCTTTTTGACAAATATATATTTAATAAATTTTATAAATGTTCTATAAAGAGGCATAATGTATTTTCTATTGATGACGTGTTATAAACGTTAGAATTATTTATAATTATATTTTCTACTCGTATTCTGTGTTTTATTTTTATTACAAGTATTTTTTTTGTCTTTGTTTTTATTGTTTTTATATTTAAGTCATTGGGTATGGTAACGCGTTCAATATGTAGATTAATTTGTATTATTAATTTTCAGTATTGTCTTGCAATGTATTTAAGATTTTTATTTAGCAATATTCGTGGGTGATATTTGTACTATGGCATATTTTCATTGATAAGGTTGTATTTAGGTGGAAGTTTCTAATTTATTATTACTATTATAATGTAATACTTTTGGTTAAACGAGAAATGGCTGAGTAGAGATCGTTAATATTCTATCGGATGAAATTTCGATAAGGTTTTTAATATTGCTTAATGGATACAATTTGTTAATGAATATTCGATTTTGATATACTTCTCTCTCTCTCTCTCTCTCTCTCTCTCTCTGTCTTTATTTCTCTGTTAAATTACACAAAGATAATATATAAAATATATATGGGTACATAAATTGCAAACGTAATCACCGTATTAACGCATGATTCATTATTATTTGACGTAAATGGTAATTATGTAAAGAAAAACAAGAAAAAGAGAATCAATGTTACAGAATAATTATCTCTCACTCTCTCTTTCTCTCTCACTCTCTCTCTCTCTCTCTCTTTCAAGATAGTTTATAGGATTTTTATTAAATTCCCGACAAAGACAATGATGTAAAGACAAATTAAAAGGAACACAATAGAAGAGAAACGAGAAAACGTGGTTTGTATACGCGTATCACCAATAGCGATTTACATACCTGTGAAGTAAATAGGCCTGGAGAGACCTGTGCAGATCCATGGGTGAATGTGCAGAGAGACAAAAGTGCATTAGTGCTAGTAGAAAATTCGATATTGTGCCTGCGTGCGTGTGATAATAGTTATGATCGATATGATGAATCCGATGATGATGATGATGATGATGATGACAACGATGAAAGATCGTGCAAATATACATATCGTGTTGATGAAAAATATGAAAATGTTTTCAATGTTTGATGTTGAATCAACAACGACCATGCAAAAATTAGTATTATTTTCTATATCGATAGTTAAACGTTTAAAACATGATTGACCACGTGGTAGATGATGAATAGATGAAAAATGACGACGAATGATGGATCGTTACTCAAATTTATTTGATTAAATATGAAAAGAACGAAAGAAAATTATCAAATTATTTGACTTTTGGCACGTTCGTATTAAATAGATAAAACAAACTACGTTATGTTGCGACGACGGAGATGACACAAAAGCGCAAGGTCGATACCTACTGCAATAAGCAGTAATAATTGCTTAATTAAAGCGGACCGTGAAATGCGCAATGCGTTTCTGTCAGCTACAGCCGGGGACAATCGCGTTTCTCGGACAACTTTACTCTCTCTCTCTCTCTTTCTCTCGGAATACATACGTACATTCGTTCTAGTTATTGAACAATTCTCTTCACCCCTCTTAACCCATCCCCTCTTCTTTCCCCTTTTCTACCGACCTACCTAAACCAACCCCAGCCCTCCTCCTCAACCATTCGCTACGTAGCCTCTTGGACTCTGCAAACACCTGTAACGCTCAATTAGAAAATCGATAACCCATCTACGGATACTCGGAGGACAATTTCTACCGGTTTATCGTGAGCTTCATCGTTCGAGAGTCGACGAACGATCCATTATTTTTATCCATTTCTCTTTCGAGAGTCGATTATCGGGAGCCAATCGTAACGAATTCCTTTGGATTGCTAGAGAGCCATTCGAGAAGCACTCGCTTATATACGACGCGTATAAATTCATTCTATATTTCTTTTTTTTTTCTTTCTTTTTCTTTTTTTTACGTTTTCGTTTCCTTTTTTTTCCCTCTTTGTTTTATTCTTCTTCTTCTTTTTCTTCTTTTTGGTTTTCTTTTTTTCTTTTTTCTTTGTTTTATTATTGCTCGTTAAAAATCTCTCTCGCAAACAGGAAAAGAAATTGGATAAAAATATTTATTTCTCGATGATCTTTATACACGTATATTTATATATGTATTATTTACTATATAAAGCGTATTCATTTGTGAGAAATTCCAATATGTATATATCTAGGAAAGAATGTA